CTCCATTTATTATCATGTTACCTGTTGGTTCAGTTGTGAGGATTTGGGGTTTCTTTACATTGAGTTGCAATCAATACTGAGGATTGCAATCCTTGATCTTCGTTATCAAGTGCTTTAAGTCCTCCTCACATTTAGTAAGCCATGTACGACTACTATTTAGTACCTAATACACATTTTTCAACTTGATTGCTTTCGACACAAAACCAGAAAGACCACTCCAAAGCACAACCAAGAATGGACCCCAAATATACCAATAATCATGAAAATGGCATAGGGTCAGGCAACATCGAATTCTATTACCCAAAAGATTACTTGCTATCAATCAGCGCTCACTTGAGGGCAACTAAAAACAACAACAAAACACACATGTGTACACATGCACAACATTCAAGTGTCTTTACACCAATGGCCCCACCTACCAGGCACCCAGCAATATTGTTAGCGCTGAGACAGCCTGCTTCAAAACGCAGATGCCGAGACCTTCGAGATTCTAATGCAGTTGATCTGACTGAAGCTTAAAAATTCGTGTTTTGTGAACATTTTCAGATTCCAGATGAACAGTACAATTTGGGAATCCAGCCAACTTGGCACAGTGAGCAAAATCACCAGGCATTTAAAGGATCATCATATGAAAGCACAGAGACCCCAGGATTTACTCCCACTTCTGGAAGCTGAGCTATAGACATCTTGGTCAAGGTCACATCACTCTTTTTACCTCTTTGGGATATAGTTGATAAAGCCTTCCAGGCGGAGTTTAGAAATCCTTGATGTTGGGAGAAAAAACAGTTGGCCTGCTTCCCCATACCTGGGCTGATGTTACCAAAATTTACAATTTAGTCTCTGTGCATTGAGACCCCTGCCCAAAGGGAGCAAATGAATCATTAAGGCAAAAGTGAAATGTACCAAATTTGACACTCTTGGCTATATGTCATCATATGCTGATAAGGAAGGGGGATTTTCCACAAATTATTTACTTATGCAAAATAAATGGTGCTAACATGATGACATCAACTTTAAAAATAAGCATAGTTCTAGAAAGCAATAGAATTGGCCTACCTAATAAAGCCTTCTGTATTAGTCTAGGTACTTTGGAGAAACAAATCCACAGCAATTCATGTATAAGAGAGTTTTATGTAAAGAAAATGTGCATCACGAAAACATCCCAACCCAATGCTGCCCAAGCCCACAAGTCCAACATTAACCCAACAACACAACACAAAGCCTTCCACCTCACAAAACAGAGGCAATGATGCCGACTGCAGGAGGAAAGCTGAGTCAATGAATGAATAAGCATCTCAGCACTAGCAGGGGTCTCCACACGGCTGCTCCAGCACCCAGGGTTGCATCGGGATAAGTCCATGTAGCTTCTCCTTGGGGATGTCTTGTATGAAGTCAATCTTGCAAGCTGAAGCAGGGAACTGCTAAGGCAGCTGCACCCTGGTGCGATCATCACAAAGCAAGAGACCTAAGAACTAGAAAGGCGAGGCTCACCACCCATTTATCCCTCCACCTTTCAATTAGCCCCACAAGTGATTATCGCCCAGGCTGGCACAATTAACTAACTCACCTTCACATTTCAATTGAAAATAACCTAAGCTCAAAAAAGAAAGGGTTTGGTCAATAAACCCCAGAAATATGAGTAGCACATACACATGAAACTGCACTTCAGTTCCTACATTTAATAAACAGGGGTAGTGATGTGATTCTGAACAGTTAGTAAAGGTGAATATAAAGGGTCAATGTGGACTGAGGAAATTCTAAAAGCAACTGCAAATGACACCCTTTGCTGACCATTGTCCAGCTCAGCTTGTCAGGCCGGAAAGGTTGTAAGCAGCCAAAGAAGAATGAGACTTTTCTTGAGCATAAATATCACCCACACCATGAAAATAAACACAAATATTTACCAAAAGACCAATGATGTTATTTGTAAAAGCCTGCAAATCAAGGAACTTTATGTCCGCTGTCTCTATTTCTACTGAGCAAACACATGTAAGCCAGCAGGTAAATGCAATCGATAATTTGCCAGTGTAGAACACTATTTTGTGTATGATATTGAGTAATTCTTTTTTGAGAGCTAACTACAAACAGGAGCCCTGGTGGATTATGCATTGGGCTGCTAACTGCAAGGTCAGAAGTTCAAAACCATCAGCCATTCAACTCAAGAAAGGTGAGGCTTTCCATTCTTGGACAGAGTTACAGCCTCAGAAACGCACAGGGGCAGGTCTGCTTGGGGTTGCCATGAGTCAGAAGCGACTCAATGGAAGAGAGTGTTTTAGTTTGATCTGCAAAGAGTGGCTAATAATACTCACTGAAGAATATTTGACTATTGTTTAATTATAATCTGCATAGCTATTCTAGTCCTCATGTTACATACACATGCAGTGTTTATTACATTCTGTACAGAAGTAGCAGGCTGTTGTAAACTGTTAACGTACTTCGTTACTAACCGAAACCCTAACCATTTCTGTTCACCCAGAGGTGCATGGCGAGAAAGGCCAGGCGATGGGCTTTGGAGAAAATCAGCCATTGGAAACCCTGTGGAACACAGTTCGATTCTGACCCACATGAAATCACTAGCAGTTGGAATGGACTTGACCACCGTTGCAGTTTCAGACTCTGATAAGGGAAAAAGGCTTCTGTGGTAAACTGTGTGACCTACATGGTCCTGTGTAGGTGGCCAGTGGCCTCATCACTCTGCTCAGATTGCCACATGAAAGCACAGAGATCCCAGGATTTCTTGGTCAGCATCGCATCACTCTTCTTTCCTCTTTGGGTTTATTTGATAAAACCTACTGGGATGAGTCTGGAAATACTTGATGTTGGGAGAAGAAATAGTCGGCCTACTTCCCCACATCAGAACTTTCCTGGGCTGATGCTCTAAAAAGTTACAATTTAGATGCTATGAAAATTTACCAGCATCTTCATGTCATTCAGGAAACACTAAAGTGAGACTCTGGGTTATAACTTAGTTAATATCTCCCATGTTTTCTAATTTTATTTGGTGGCTGGATGTTCTCTCTTCATGAATCAGTCAGTTTTAGATGTCAAATATCAATCTAAGTCAAAAATATTTCACCAGATGGCTGCTTCCTAAAACTCAGTAAAGTGAGGAAAATCGAAGATATAGGAGAAACCAGACTACCCCAAAAAGTGCAATTAACATCTTCTTTTAAGAGTTATAATCATGTTGGAACTTCTCTTCACTGACTACAATCTCACTCCAAGGTGACAAGGAGAGGCAGGGGTATTTGATATTTGATATTTCCTTACAAATATGGATATGTGATATTGTATTTGACATTTTTTTTACAAGTATGGAGCTGTTAATCATCTCCTTTTCTAAATCAAACACTCCCCTCCTCCCGAGTGCCTCTGTTCTCCGAGCCTCAGACCTGTCTACTCCACCCACTTTGCTCCCTGCCCCAGGATTTCTCACTGTCTCAACTCTTACTAGTAAAGGATAGTATATAGTAAAACAAGGAGCAAGAGGTCTGGTATCCAACCCTGTGAATGCCTTTACTGGCACATCTGTGAAGAGTTCCAGTCTGAGAAACTCACAGAAGCAGTTCTCCTCTGTGCTATGGGGTTGCTATGAGTCGGCATCAACTCAATGAAAATGAGTTTGGTTTAGAGTACAGAGCCCAAAATAAGTCACTTAAACTTTCTGAGGCTTTATTGGTCCCATCCCATCATTATCATCATCATAATTGTGGTAGTGACATAACCTCTTGTCAATTTGAGGATTAAGAGTGAAGGGGTGAAGTTTAGCCTGTCGATCAGGTGGCAGCTTGATGGCCTCATTTGGAGGTGCTAAGCAGATAAATAGGTTGCTTGCGGTGGGCCACAGACTCAGACCCTGCTAGACATCCCTGTGGAGAAGACACATGGAGAGAGGCTGATGGCAGTTCAGAGCCTCAGAGTGGAAGGAACCACGTGGAGACCCCTGCCAGCACTGAGATGCTTACAATGCCACTGGATTCACAAGACTTCCCACCAATTGGCCTGTGATCTTCCTGCATTTGGCATCATTGTATGTGTTTCATGATTCTGAAGAGGACTTTATACATTGGTATCTGACATATGGGCTAATATCTGACTTATGTACTTGATCTGGACTGGGCTGGGATATTTTCTCAATGTTCAATTACTCTTGTATATAAAGCGCTTTCTTATACACTGAGTTAGTTAGTTTATTGTGCCAACCTGGCCAATAAACGCATGTGGGGTTAATTGAAGAGCGGAGGGATAAATGGCTCGGTGAGCCTTTCGAGTTCTCCGGTCTCGGTCTCTTGCTTTCTGATGGTCGGACCAGGGTGCAGCTGCCTTAGCCACTTTCTGCTTTAACTGGCAAAGCTCACTTCCTACAAGACATCCCCGAGGAGAAGCCTCATGGACCTACCCTGATGCAGCCCTGGTTGCTGGAGCAGACATGTGGAGACCCCTGCCAGCACTGAGATGCTTGCATGTTCACTGACTCAGCTTTCCTCCTGCAGTCGGCGTCGTTGTGTCTGTTTGGGGAGATGGAGGAGGACTTTGTAGATTGGTGTTGGACATATGGGTTAATGCTGGACTTGTGGGCTCGGGCAGCACTGGGTTGGGATGTTTTCTTGATGTGCACTTACCCTTTATATAAAGCACTCTCTTATACATGAGTTTCTGTGGATTTGTTTCTTTAAAGTACCCAGACTAACTCATACACATATGAGTCTCCCTGGATTTGGTTCTCTAGACTATACAGACTAACACAATAATGTATTTGAATTAGATGATATTAAAGATCTAAAACTCTACAATAGTTTCTACAATTTTACCAGTGTTGGCTAGCAGTTTAAGTCAAGCAAAAGTATAAGAATTCTCATGATTAATACCCGAAGACAAAATTATTTTTTGTAAACCTGGAAAATAAAAAATGGATAATGTGTGCTAATTTCCTCATTTGACAAAATGAAAAAGCAATAGGTGGTATTCCATTCTTGGCATGAGTATAGAAATATAGGATTATCGCTTCTCGGCCTTTTGGCTAAGACCAAGTGTAGTATCTGTTCTTATTGGTTTCTTATCTGATATGTCCTTTATCTGAGGACAATATGCTAAATGTATTTTTGTGAGTAGGAGTTGGACTAGGTGCTTGCTCCATCCACTCCACACATCCACCTGGTATGGCAATACTTCCAGCAATGATGCAGCCCCTTAGGGGGTCCTTAAAAAAAAGAAATACAGGATTATATGTTTTCCTTAGAATTTCAGGACAACCCAGTCAAGCTTTCCAATCATAAGAAGAAAAAGAGCAAAGAATATCTAACATATATATCAAAAAAGGAGGGAAATGGCCACTGCAGGAAACACAAAACAAGATAAAAACAATCTAAGCCAGTGGTTCTCCACCTTCCTCATGTGGTGGTGACCCCCAACCATAAAATTATTTTCGTTGCTACTTCATAACTGTAACTTTGCTACTGTTATGAATCATAATGTAAATATCTGATATGCAGGATGTATTTGCATTGTTACAAATTGAACATAATTAAAGCATAGTGATTAATCACAAAACAATGTGTAATTATATATTGTGAAATATTAATTTCTAATTATAAATAAATGAAATTTTGTCTTGAAGCATGGTGTAA